AAAGATGTTGTTACTTCCAATATAATACACAATAAAGATACTGCTACTTCCTATATAATACATAATAAAGATACTGCTACTTCCAATATAATACACAATAAAGATACTGCTACTTCCAATATAATACATAATAAAGATACTTCTACTTCCAATATAATACACAATAAAGATACTGCTACTTCCAAGATAATACACAATAAAGATACTGCTACTTCCAATATAATACACAATAAAGATACAGCTACTTCCAATATAATACACAATAAAGATTATACTACTTCCAATATTATACACAAAAAGGATATTAATACTTCCAATATAATACACATATATATATTGTTACTTCCAATATAATACACAATAAAGATATTGCTACTTCCAATATAATACACATAAAGATATTGCTACTAAAGATATTGCTACTTCCAATACAATACACATAAAATATACTGCTAGTACCAATATTAAACACAATAAATATGCAGCCACATCCAATATAATACACATTAGAATATAACCCACGATTATATAACATATATAGAACTTATTCACTATTTTTGCAGTCTACATTCAATCATTGTTATTTATTTATTTTGATTTTGTTGTTGTTGCTTAATTTGAATGTGTGTTTGTAAGAAAGCTACATTGGGAAAGTTGACAAAATAGGTGAGGTACCTGGTTGAATAAAATCTAAGTGGGAATACACGATTAAATAAGATTTTTAAACAATATCAGCGACTTATAAGACACTGCTATGCTGATAATACTTTCACCGTCCATTTTCATTATGGCGGTATCCATGTACAACAAATTGAAAGTTTTCAGCCTCCTTTTCCTTTCTGAGCTGATCACCCAGACTGTTCACTGGATTACACAATAAAGTGAATATGTGACGATGGAGACTACATTTTATTTTTTTTGGATGCGTTTGATTAAATGTTGCGAAATATCTTTCTTGTGCAGGAAAATAATCAACTTCTTTGACGGGTGTTTCACAATATTTTTATTCCTGTGCTACATCTACGGTTTGAAATTATTCAATTTGATCTCAAAGAAAATACAATAAATTAACTTAGATTTGGTTGATAGAAATTTTTATATTTTAGAAGACGATTTTCAGTCCAAAATGTACATTGAGATAAAGATGCTTATTTCAAACATGAAATTCTGGAATCTCAAATGTTTATGGACTTGAATACATTTTAAGAAAATATAACAAAATTCTTTTGGATATATGAGCAATGATTTATAAACTTCAGTTCAGAAACTACAGAAGTCGGAGATACGATAAGTTGGAAAAGAATGCTCCACAAGATTTTGAAATTTTACATCAGCTTTTAACACCAATGTTCCACTTATTTTTTTAACACGACCCATCTTTTTCCTTATCTTGGAGCCTTATAGCTTATCTTCTTACTAGGCTACATAAATTACATAAAAGCATAGGCCTATTGAGTTTTTTTTTACGTTTTCATTTTTTGAAATGTATAATATGATGTGGCTATCCTAGTTTTGCAAGCATCCTTGACTATGTTTGCACGGAGCAGACGATGTAGGCTCTAGTGTGGGCATATAATGCATCTGAATGGAAAACACAAATGAGACAGCAATCATTTATTTTCCATCCCACAGCTTTCTTAATAATGGGACATAACTCTTTCAAATATAGGATTAATACCACAATGTATTGACACTTTTGAAACTAATTTGACTGTATTTATAATTTTTTGGCATTAATAAGACCTATGTCAAATTGTTTTTCTTATCAATGGGACACAACCTTTTCAATACCAGAAACAGACCACAATGCGTTGATTTACGAAATTTGTCATTTTCCGACCGACAAATAATTTTTTAATTTACCATTCTTTCTTTTTTTTCCTTTTTTTTTTTTTGATAAATGGGAACTAACTCGTCCAACTCTATTGAAAGTAAGGCTACAATGAATTGATTTCCAAACTTTTTAATCGAAGTCGTATGCGTTCTATTTTCATTTGTATATAGCACCTCAGAGTATCTCTCTGATAGCATTCTTTATAATAAGGTTTGAGAGTTTTTCACACCAGTGCCTTGATATACCAGCCTAACTTAATAATAGCCCTTTTTTCAGGCAACACACGTTGTAAAAAGTTAAATATTTCCATTCTCTAACCCTGTTGGGGGGGGGGGGGGGGGGGGAGTGTCAACGTAACTGACTTTTTTCCATTTGTTGTGAAGAATGTAAAAAAAAAATTTTTATTTCAATTTTATTTATTTCAAACTAATCTCTCTACCGTATTTTTAAACTGATGCCATTAGTTGATTTACTGGACACTCGAGACTAGGTCAAAACTAAAACAATAACAAACCAAAGTTATTTCCCTTTAGGTTTTTGTTGACATTGTACGTACATTATTACTTAGATTCTTGTGTCAATTGAAATATTGATTTACATCATATGATGGTGACTGTTTAAGAAGATATATCAATCTAGTTTGATGTATTTAACACGTGAGTGTATATTCATGTTATTCCCTTCTTTTCTAGATCTTCAGAAGTTTGACTAAACGGCGTCGGGTTCACCTAACTATTTGATTGAACTTGATTAAGTGACTGCTGTAGTAAATCCTTTTTTAGTTATATCCTATGTATGGTCCTATTGACTTGACCTTTAAACAAATAAACTGAGGTGGTTTTCAACTACATCTAGTTGACATCCTTATTTATATATCATAGTAATATAATAACCTTTGGATTGTGACTTTTTAAACATCATTTATTGTCTTTGAAATTTTTTTTTTTAAATATTTAAAGAGGGGAATTTTCAAACTTTTTATACTGTAGGCCTACTATCATTATTACTCAACACATGCATGTCATGTATGTAGATCAATTCAAATTCGTGTTAGGAGCCGCAGTGACTCAGTGAGTTAGACACTTGCTCGCTAACCTGAAAGCCCAGGGTTCAATCCCGGCATAGGTCGAGATGATAGCCTCAGATTTGTCAACCCTGTTTCCCCCTGTGATGTAGGTAAGAGTGGCTGACATGGAAAAAGCGTCTAGTCGTTTGGATGGGACAATAAACCGAGGCCCTGTGTGCTACAGTCTGTGCATGTTAAAGATCGCTAGACAGTTGGAAATCTAAAAAGAGCAGACTAATGCTGCTGTCCTGGCAAAATTTCCTTTATTGCACCCTGCATGGCATTAGCCCACATGGTTTTGAGAAGTAGGACGTAAAACTCCATTCATTTCATTTCAATTTCAAAATCGTGTTAAATGAAAAAGTTTGAATAATTTTATAAAACTTCAATCTGGATATAACTAGGGTCTTTTTTCTATGAGGTAAAAATCCTGTTGTCTTCAAAGTCCATTATGTCTTTCATCGCAATGCTTTCGGTAGACTTCAAACAGTAACCACCTTTACATCAGACATCAGATAAGCCATATATTTAGCAGATATCATGTTTCTAATTTTGTAAACAAGATTTATGTTTTGTTAAATTCTGCATAAGGCGTAATTGCCTCATTTGACTTGATGTAGTTACACCTCTATCAATGATATCTATTGAAGGCTAGTCCCATATTATTCTTCAAATATTGCCTCATTTGTTCAGTATAGTGTTCATTTTAAATTTTTTAATGCAAAATTTATAATTAAAACCTCATTACTTCCATGTACCAGTATGAAAAATTTATATGTACAGTACTGGTACAGCTAATCCTAGATTAAGACTAAGGGTGAAGGATGTACTTATCTATGATTAGGAGATAAGATTAAGGAAAATTATTTTAATTTAGACACAACTCTTATATTATTACCACAACATGTTTTCAGTTCATATTTACTATATTAGGCCATTGAAAAGTTTATTCTTTACTGTTGAAAAGAATTGGAGATCTGCCAAGTTTTAGTTTGACTTTTGCTTAAAGATTCCTTTTCTTAACTTAAATTGGTTAGGAAGGGACACATTTGCTGATTGTGTTTTATGTGATGATAGAATCCTTCTTTCTTCATTAGAATAGATGTGTAACAGAAAACACAAGGAAATATTATGGTATGTACTTTGTTATGTGTTATACCAAATATTCCCTTGTGTTTTTTGTTATATGTGCTCTCAGCTTCTTAATGTCGTTCAAATAGATGTGGGTTGATTATGTTACACAAAATAAATGGCATTCAAATTCAAATGATTTGACAATCGATTGTCATAACAATCTGATATTGATATAGGAATTTAGATGGTTAGTAATGATGCAGAAATACTGAAATATATAGATTGTGTGAATTTTTGATAATCATGATGGTGGAAGCCAACAGTGCCCCAACTATCAGAAGCACTTGGATTGCTTCAAAATTTTTTGTTTATATCTCCCTATGTTGGAGTTTATATTGTTGGCACATCATTCACATTTTTTTCTTACACACCCTAGAACATACAATTTTAATCCAATTTGATAAAATTGATACATAAACCTTCAATGAAGATGAAGATCAAATTTTATAGCTCTCTGAATGTTGACCCCTGTGATTTGCATATGTGAAAATTTTATGGCTGCATAAGATTTTAACTGATTTTCATAAAATTTGGTAGGTAAACTTATATAATCAAATTGAGTTCAACAGTTCACAACACTTATGATTATTAACATCCCTGATCATTAAATAGTGAAATACAATACATCCTTAATCTTTAAATCAATTTTCATTATGAAAAATATCTTTGTATTTGCTTATATCACCAAAAAGATTTTTTTTTCACCAAGCTTATGCTGAAGTAGATGAATTTGGACAAGATTCCACTGATTCAAATCTTTACTGTTGGAGAAATCAACACTGTTTCAGGAAAAATCATAATTTAAGAATTGTCAAATACTCTAACAGTAGCCTACATTGTATAGAACTACTTCTATATTCCCCTTAATTATATCTGATATAGCTTAATCTAATTAGTTCCATTAATTCTTTCAGGTATATGTTGAATCCAATCTAGTTTCAACAACTTCAAACTACAGCCAGGATGAAGTGGAACTGGCACGAGTTTTGCGGACATGATGAAAATTTCACAGTATGGAGTGGGAATGATTTCGGTCATTGTTTTGAGAAGTGTGCTTTTATATTACCACCATTAGTATTATTGTGTATACTAAGTTCATATTATATAGCCAGACGACAATTACGTTTTGCACAAGCAGATGTATATGTGGAATGGTTTTGGTTTTTAAGATTAAGATTTTTCATGACTGTGTTGTTGATACTGACACCAGTGGTAGAAATACTCTTGACAATATTTTTGTTTAAAATCACACCGAGTTGGGCTGATTATGTGGTGTGTGGACTCTCTATTTTTACGTGGTTTGTACATACCGTGTACGTGTGGCATCTGCGATATATCCATAATGTGTCTGTACGTGGACCTAGTCTAGTTATTTGTGTTTATTTGTTGACACTTGTTTCATTAGCAGTACATCTGAGATCTGTGATATATCAACATGTTGAACATTCAGCCAACCTGAATTCTGCTGAGGAATATGTCAGCTATACTAAACTTGGAATTCAATTAATTTATCTGCTGACTTTATTCCCTAAAAGAGATCGAATTTACAGAACAGAACTGTTTGCTGGCAGTATTAATTATGATGCAACAGACACAGAACAGGTTACATGGGATCATATTCGTAGTTATGGTTCTGTCAACATATCAGAACCTTCAGTAGAACTTATTGAAGCCGAGTATGATGCCAACTGCTTTTCTAAGCTCTCATTTTATTGGTTGCGTGGAATGTTCAGAAAAGGAGCTATGGGCAAACTGAGAAGTGGCACTGACTTGTACAGACTCCCAAAAAGACTGAATTCATCGAAAATTGATAAAAAATTTAAACATGTTCTCAATGGCTACTCTTCAGATGGGGAGGTAGATTTAGACAATAATGTATCTCGTGGAAGTACGACTGGATATTCTTCACTTCTGCACGATTCCTCTATTCAAATTATGGATCCTGGTAGATATAGGCGAGTTGAAAAACCCAAAACATTATTCAAAGCTTTAAATTCAGCTTTTGGCTGTGAATATTATACATTAGGAATTCTGAAATTAGTGGCAGACGGTTTAGGATTTGCTGGCCCGATTCTTCTGAACTTTTTAGTTTCATACATTGAAAACAAAAATGAACCTGAATATCATGGATATATCTATGCATGTGGATTACTTCTGAGCACATTTTTAGGAACAATCTTTTCCACGCAATTTGACTACCATGTGAAAAATGTTGGGTTTAAAATGCGTTGTGCTATTATTACTACAGTGTATCAAAAAACCTTATCAGTGAATACTGTCAACATGTCAAAGTTCAGTACAGGTCAAATTGTCAACTTCATGAGCACAGATACAGACAGAATCATCAACTTTTGTCCAAGTTTCCATGCGTTTTGGAGTTTGCCCTTTCAAGTTGCTGTCTCCCTATATTTACTACATCAACAAGTTGGATTGGCGTTTTTAGCTGGTCTGGCCTTCGCTATTATTTTGATTCCTATCAATCGACAGTTAGCTATTAAAATTGGAGATCTGAGTAGTAAAATGATGGAACAGAAAGACTCCAGAGTTAAGGTATGTGCCATTATTTTTCTTATTTTCATGAAGGATATTTGGTGGACAGTGTCTAACCAATTCCATATTTCTACCTTGTTTAACTGTAACAGGTAAACCCCATTTTGGAGGAAAATGTATTGATGTCATTTTCATGATTTGTTTTGTAAATGTGTGTAAAAGTTATAATGTATTTGCCTGCAAATAGTTTTATTATTGTCACCACTAGGCTATATTCACCATAATCTGTATATATTCCTTCAACTGAAGGCTTTATTACATCAGTTATAATAATTTTCTATAGTTGATGACAGAAATATTAAGTGGTATCAGAGTTATCAAGTTTTATTCGTGGGAGAAGCATTTCACCAGTCAAGTCAATTCTATCAGAGATCAAGAATTAAAGAATTTAAAGTGTCAGAAATATTTAGATGCTTTATGTGTATATTTTTGGGCCACAACTCCTGTATTGATCTCAATATTAACATTTACAACTTACTCTCTGTTGGGCCATCAACTAACTGCTGCCAAAGTAAGTACCAGTATTATTTTTAACCAAGTCTTTATGCATGAAGGAAACTTCATATCTTTTTGCTCCTTAAATAATCTGAAGCAAAACTTCCAGGATGCTATTTGTGGAAGTTTGACTGTTATCACTGTGGAAGTTTGACTGTTATCACTTCTAAGATGCTATTTGTGGAAGTTTGACTGTTATCACTGTGGAAGTTTAACTGTTATCACTTCCAGGATGCTATTTGTGGAAGTTTGACTGTTATTATTTCCAGGATGCTGTTTGTGGAAGTTTGACTGTTATCACTTCTAGGATACTATTTGTGGAAGTTTGACTGTTATCACTGTGGAAGTTTGACTGTTATCACTTCCAGGATGCTATTTGTGGAAGTTTGACTGTTATCACTTCCAGGATGCTATTTGTAGAAGTTTGTGGAAGTTTGACCGTTATCACTTTCAGGATGCTATTTGTGGAAGTTTAACTGTTATCACTTCCAGGATTCTATTTTTGGAAGTTTGTGGAAGTTTGACTGTTATCACTTCCAGAATGCTATTAGCAATCAAATGTACAGATCTTATCCATATCATGAAGTCACTTTTTTGGCAGGCTGAATTCCCACAACTCTTTTACATTGAACTAATGGAGAACCTGACTCCAGGTTTAACTTTTTAGAAGGGATAAGGGTAGCTGGTAAAGCAATTTTATATAGACTACTACTATATTTGTTTTATCATGAAAAAAAGAAAAGTATAGAATTGGAGGTACCTTAATGTTGTTAATCTATAATCAAATTTTGTATTTTTCAGGTTTTTACAAGTTTATCATTATTTATTATGTTAATTGGACCTCTTAATGCATTCCCTTGGGTCATAAATGGTTTGATGGAATCCTGGGTATCTTTAAAAAGAGTAGAAGAATTCTTTAAATTGAAGACATTTGATCCAATTTCATATTTTTCTCAACATTTAGGTGAGTTTTATTTTATGCTTTTGCAATAGTGATGTCATAAAATTCTTAGTTTTAGATAAATTGCAAAATATAACTAAAAATTGGAATGGTGCTCATAAGAATATTCAAAATTTTGCTAAGCCTGGGGTCCCAGTATTGGTTGTTGATGGTACCTTTGGATTTATTCACCTGGTTTCTCTGTAGTTATGCTGGTTAGAGAAACTGACAATAGATAAAACCACTAGAGACCTCTAATATTGGATTGAAAATATAATGTAGGTCCCATGTGCTACAGGCTGTGCATGTACTGGGAATTAAACTGATTTGGCTAATACAGGTGTCCTGACTCCTAACACAAGTTTTCGAACGTGCATTGCATTGCCTATTTACATAATCTTAACAGAAAAGCAAAAATTTGTAAGTTCCTTTCATTTTTTTTATTTGATAAATAAATCATTTTCAGATATAACAAGTTCCATAAGAGTAGATAAAGGATCCTTTTCATGGTTACCTAAAGATTCAAATATTATCTCATCTAGTCAAAATGGCAGAACCAATCAAATGCCAGGCTCAACCAATGAAAATCCAGCTGGAAGTGAAGACTCAACCAATGAAAATAGTTCATCTTTATTAATGTTATCAAATATAAATCTTCACATTAGAAAGGTAAGTAAAACGGTATTATAACTTAAGACTTTGAGCAACTAAGTTGAATTCATTTGTGCATATGTATTATTTTGTCCACCTTAGAAAAATTTTGCAGTCCAAAACAAATATTATTCAAAAGGGATTATGGATTAGAAATCTGTCAATGTTACTGTGAATTACTTCATTGATCTTGCATTAACTACTTCTCTGCAAAAATTTTTTCACTTTCCTTCACATAACATTGTTCCCTGCATTAGTGCTGGATACAGAGCAGTGATGCAGTAGAACCATGAAATCCATGACCTGAAGGGAACTACAAATGCATGTCAGAAGAAACTTCCCATTAATCTTTTCAAATGTTATTTCAGGGTCAGTTTTTAGGAATAATTGGAAAAGTTGGCAGTGGTAAAAGTTCACTGTTAAATGCTTTATTGGCTGAAATGGAGAAAGTTGGAGGTAGAATTAGTATTGAGAAAAGAGACCATGGCTTCTCTTATGCTTCTCAAGAACCATGGATACAGCATGCTACAGTTAGAGATAATATATTATTTGGTCAGAGATATCAAGTAGGGAAATATGATGCTGTAATACATGCTTGTGCTTTAACTGATGATCTCAAGGTATGACTATTTCTTAAACCTTTTTTTTTTTCGCAGACAGCAGTGTTTGTGTGTGTCTTTGGAGAAGTGAACATTGAAAACAAGGTTTGGTCTGAAATATGGTTTGGTCTTTCATCTTGAATTTAAGATTTGGGCCTTTTAAAAAAAGCGTTTGTTTCAGACCTGGGATTGAGTATTAAAATGAATGGAAAATGCAGCGAAAAGTCGGAAAATTAAATGTCTTTGGAGTTTAGAGCACTGTTGGAGCTTTATATTCATTATGAAGTCATTGGCTTCAAATACCAAAAACTTTGGTTTAAAGAGGTACCTGGTCAGATCTAAAATGAATTACCCTAAAAAAACTAAAGAAACTAAATAAATATTTAAAATAAGAACAATGGTATATAAGATATTGTGTATTTCAGATGTTACCTGCTGGTGATAGAACTGAAGTAGGTGAAAATGGTATGACATTAAGTGGAGGACAGAAAGCTAGAGTAGCATTGGCTAGAGCTGTATATCAGGTTTGTCTACAGAATTTCTTGTCTAGGCTGTACAGATCTGTTAGTCTTAATTTGTTTTACAACAGGTTTTCTAGCCTTTGTATCACTGTATCTGTTGCAAGTAAGAGGGGCTGATATCTAGTTGTTCAGATGGGATAATAAAAGAGGCCCCATGTGTTACAGACTGTGTATGTTAAAGATCCCTTGACAGTTTGTAAAAAGAGCAGGCTGTCGTGGAAAAATTTCCCTCATTGCACCTTGCATGGCATTGCCAGTCTTGCAGAAAAGTAGGATTCATTTCATTTCATTTTCATTCTATACAAGGAGTTCTGTTTGGATCTTTTCAAATAATTTTCCCTTCATAGTCATATCTAGATTAACTATAAAGGATATTTTCTTAACCAAATCACTTGAAAATGAAAAAAAAAAAAATATGAAAGATGCTTTGAACATTATGGTCCCTAGTGATAGTAACTAAAATTTTACTAATTATAGGATAAAGAAGTATATTTATTAGATGACCCACTATCAGCTGTTGATAGTCATGTAGCTAACCATCTATATTATAAATGTATTATGGGTATGTTAAAAGATAAAACCAGGATACTGTGTACTCATCATGTTAAATATCTTAAAGAAGCTGATATAGTCATACAGATGGAAGATGGTCATATTGTCAAATCAGGTAAGCACCATATTTTTGGGGTAACAAAGTTCCCCTGTGTGTTGAGCAGATTGGAGAGACTGACATTGAAGGAGCAACTTGAAGTAGTTCAGATGAGACAATAAATCGAGTCCCTGTACACATTTAAGAACCCATGAAAACGAAGACACAAATGACAGTGTCCTTGAAAAATTCACCCTATTGCACACTGCAATCCATTGCTTGCCTTCATTAACCAAATCAAGTCTTCGTAATACATGTACTTATCTTGACATCTTACGCCTCTGAAGTGAGCTCGCTTAATTTACACATATTCAACATTTCCAAAGCAAACTGTCCTGATGAGGATTTTATATCAGAAACTTGGCAGCATATGACGAGCAATAGTTAAGTAGAAATGTAATATTCAAATTTAAAATTGAAAAAGAATTATCTAGAAAATAGACTATGGAAAATCCTGAAAAAGGGTCCTATTTCTATTGAGCCTCATCTTAAAGTGCTCTCACACTATGTGTATGGTTGCAAATAAGAATGGCAGTCATAAATATCTCATGTAACTGAGTTTTAAGTTGCTTTCAGTACTCTGTGTCCACTTTCATTATTCGCATCCATACACAACTGGTAATAGATATGTTCTGAGGGCACTGCTCATTATGTATTTGGTTTTAATTCATTTCATTACAGGGAGACCATCTGAAGTTCTTCCTACTATAAAAGATATAATAAAAGAAGATAGAGAGACAGAAGTAGGGAGGAATGAAGAGGAAGGAGAAGAGAGAGGATTGATGAGTGAAGAAGAAAAAGAGAAAGGAGTAGTTAAACTACATGTCTATAAGTCATATTGGACAGCAGTAGGTAACTGTCTAGCACCATGTATACTCATAGCTTTATTTCTTATGCAAGGTAGGTCATTTAAATATCATCACAAAAACTGTCAATTTGAGTTCAATGGGATAATTTTTTTTTATTTTTTTTGTAATTTAGAAACTGGATTGCACTTTAAGTTGCAGTCTAAGATATAAAAAAGGTGTGGGCTTCTATAGATTGGTTCAAATCATTGTTTTGCAATAGCATTGTATTAGATCTTTAAGACTCTTCAAAATGAAGGTACAATACATCAAAAACAATTTTGGTGATGCTACTAGTGCTGCCAACTCCTACCCTACCTCCTTCAAAGTTTCAAATTATAGAATTTTAGAAGGGTTTTGCTGTTATCCTGTCATCTGAAATACTGTGATATATCTTAATGGGATTGTAGAAAGGATCTCTAAGTTTGTTATGCTTATTGGGGACACTGATGGCATCAATTTGCACTATTCCAATTTTCAATCACATTTCTTTTTTCAATCAAGACGTCTGTGGCTCCTGGAATTCTTTTAAAACTAAGTGTTTTATAACATCATCCTGGCAAAATTTGCTTGTATCTCGTATCTCGGGAGTGATATCATAAAACACATAGTTTTAGTAGAATTGATAGAACCACAGATGTCTGATTGAAAATTGGAATGGCGCAAATTGCTGCTATCATTGTCCCCGATACACATACAAAATTTAGAAAACCTGTTTACAATCCCTTTAATATTTCATTTTTCTGGCTAAATTTGTCTCATGCCATCCTGTGTTTATTTTACAGCATCCAGAAATATCAATGATTGGTGGTTATCATACTGGGTAACACATAGTCATACCTCTACTAATAACAATCATAATACTTCCAATTTATATAGGTAAGTTACAGATGGTTGAGCTAACTATCCAGCATTTCCACTTTTATGACAAAAACCATCATAGTTCTGCTTAAAATTGGAAATGCAGGCTTGAATTTTCACTGCATGACATACTGCATGTTGATTGTTGGATGACCAAGATAGCCTTAATGTACTTGGAACAAGACTGAGATATGATGTGCAGTCTTTGAAGTGCTGGTTGAGATCTTTACTTTAGATATCTGACCTGTTGAAATATCGTGTGGGATCTTTCAGAAGAATCAAAGTATGACAGTGCTAGATTATAAATGGTGAAATTTCGCATTTTCGCATGTTTCCATGGTAGTTTTCTATAGTTAAACGAAATCTGAAATATATAGAATAAAATCTATGTTTAATGTGCTAATATTTTATAGTGTTTTTATTTTCAGTTTTGTACCGGAGTTACTTCATTTCAATCATAATAATACCAGTAGTATACCAGACTTGAATATAACACAAGCTACAGATAATGTTAAATTCTATCTTATGATATATGGTTGTCTAGCTGGAGCTAACTCTATCTTCACACTCTTCCGAGCGTTTTTATTTGCTTATGGTGGTATAGAGGCAGCTCAACTTTTACACAAAAAACTTCTGTCATCCATTCTTAAAGTAAGTAAGCTACAATTCTTTACAGATTTTGTTAATTTTTATTTTGTTGATCTATGTCATTTTGGAGATGATCCGTATTTTAATGATGATCCGATAATTTTTCACCGAAATATCGTGGGCAACTTAGCGTTTTCACTCTATTAGTAATATTATGCAACTTTTGCTCACTCTACAGGCTACAATTCTTTATGGATTCTTTTTATTTTTATGTTCCCACATGTAGTATTGAAGCATATTGTCATCCATACGTCTGTTCAAAATTAGCTCATGCTCACTCTACAGGCAACAAAGAATGATTTGTGCTTGCAATCAAAGCTGCTGGTGGGTGTATGTCACATTGTTTTTCAAGGCTATCTTTAAGTATTCAATAATATGGTATTTTTGTTTTACAGGCACCAGTGTTATTTTTTGATACAACTCCATTAGGAAGAATAGTCAATAGATTCTCATCTGATATATATTCTATAGATGATTCCTTACCATTTATATTAAATATATTCCTAGCTCAAGCTTATGGTATCTTCGGTACTATTATTATAACTTGTTATGGTTTACCGTGGTTTGCTATAATACTAGTACCTTTAGGTCTTCTATATTATAAAATACAAGTAAGTTATAAGAATGTTTTTACTGAAGTCAGCCCAGTCGTCAGGAATGAATTGGTGCTGGGGTTCAGAGTTTGTACTCAGTAAAATTGGATGTCAAAATTTTGATCTTTTTGATTTTGTACAAAGACACTGTAAATGAATCAATTTCTGCTGAACTGAAGAAGTTTTCGCTGGGGCTTAATTCTCACTTGCTAAGGCCCGGCCCTCATGGACCTTATTCTAACGACGGGGTTGACTAAAGCCATTGATAATGAATTATATGCTATGGGTCCAAAATGGACATTGGTGTGATCTTGAGCTCACTGGTTTTGAACCCATAGCACCTAATCACCTTACAATGCCTGATGCTACTGACTTAGCTATCCTATTGCTATAGGAAGTGTTCCAACCTAGCGTTAGAGGGAAAAAATCTCACACAGAAAAAAATGAATTATTTTGTGTATGTTTGGATCAGATTATGGAAATGTCACCAGAAAATGAGATGAAGTGTCTACAATTTTTTTTTTTTATAGAAATATTATCGCCAGACATCTAGAGAATTAAAGAGAATTTCCAGTGTCACATTGTCACCTATTTATGCTCATTTTACTGAAACTATAACTGGTTTAACTACTATAAGAGCTATGAAAGCTTCAGAAAGGTAAAATTATAAAACAATTCATCTTCTTTTATCAAAATGAAATGCATTAATTCAAAGAAATATTATTCTATATCATCTCAAAAATGAATAAAAAAGATGTAAAATTATGAATTTTCAAATGTTCATTGAGTTTTTCAACAATGGAAATCAAATGATTTACCCAGGCAATTTTTGAGATTCAGAAATTGTGTTAAGTCGGTTGTCAAGACCTAAAAATGTACCTTTTTTGATAAAAAAGCTCCACTTCAAAATGCCTTCCTTAACAATTAGAAAAAAATAAAGAGGAGAGGCTGTTGTAAAAGAAAATACCCTTTCTCATAAGAAGGCACTGAAAAGATCAAATGATAAAATTTATTTCTATTCCAGATTCCGCAGAGAAAATTTGCAGAAATTAGACTTAAATCAAAGAGCCCAGTTTGCTAATAATACTGCTGCTAGGTGGTTAGATTTTAGACTACAGATGTTAGGTGTTGCCATGGTAACTGGTGTTTCATTTATAGCTGTATTAGAACACCATTATAGATCTGTTAATCCAGGTAATATAATTATTGACTGTTTTATTTACTAGTATGCCTTGGATGATTCTGTTCACACTCTATAACTGTGTTTCTCTATTGTCTATTTGTAGGTTTTGTAGGATTAGCTATATCCTATTCTCTATTGTCTATTTGTAGGCTTGGTAGGATTAGCTATATCCTATTCTCTATTGTATATTTGTAGGTTTGGTAGGATTAGCTATATCCTATTCTCTATTGTCTATTTGTAGGTTTGATAGGATTAGCTATATCCTATTCTCTATTGTCTATTTGTAGGTTTTGTAGGATTAGCTTTATCCTATTCTATTGTCTATTTGTAGGTTTAGTAGGATTAGCTATATCCTATTCTCTATTGTCTATTTGTAGGTTTGATAAGATTAGCTATATCCTATTCTCTATTGTCTATTTGTAGGTTTGATAAGATTAGCTATATCCTATTCTCTATTGTCTATTTGTAGGTTTGGTAGGATTAGCTATATCCTATGCTCTATTGTCTATTTGAAGGTTTGGTAGGATTAGCTATATCCTATTCTCTATTGTCTATTTGTAGGTTTGGTAGGATTAGCTATATCCTATTCTCTATTGTCTATTTGTAGGTTTGGTAGGATTAGCTATATCCTATTCTCTATTGTCTATTTGTAGGTTTGGTAGGATTAGCTATATCCTATTCTCTATTGTCTATTTGTAGGTTTGGTTGGATTAGCTATATCCTATTCTCTATTATCTATTTGTAGATTTGGTTGGATTAGCTATATCCTATTGTCTATTATCTATTTGTAGGTTTGGTTGGATTAGCTATATCCTATTCTCTATTGTCTATTTGTAGGTTTGGTAGGATTAGCTATATCCTATTCTCTATTATCTATTTGTAGGTTTGGTTGGATTAGCTATATCCTATTCTCTATCTATAACTGGTTTATTGGGTGGAGTAGTAATGTCCTTCACTGAAACAGAGAAACAGTTAGTGAGTGTAGAGAGAGCTGAACAGTATATTAATAATGTACCACATGAATCTTGGACTGGACTTCTCTTTGTAAGTTGTAATATTCCTTTTGACAAAGCAAAGAGTTAAATGCCTACTTGTAACCCAGTGGTTCAATGTTAACAAGGGTTGATTATATGGTTGTTAAACCCATACTCCCTTATCAATAAATACATGGGACCATTGTTCACTTTATCCATATAGCTTCGTTTGAGGCAGTCAATCCTTTTAAATGACCCTTTCATGAGAGAGATTTTTCAAACTCAATTATTCATTGTGGCAAGTCTGTTAAATGGCCAGTTTGAAAATCATGTGACATTAAACATTCCTTGATATTGGATCAAACAGAATAGACTAATTTCCCTCATTGCTCATTGCATGGTGTTACATCTTCACAAGTCCTATAAAAGACCTCTTTATCACTTTTTCAGCCTCCATCATACTGGCCGATTCAAGGTTCAGTATTATTTAGTCATGTGACAATGAGATATAGGGAAGACTTACCGAATGCATTAGATGGTGTTACGTTTGAAACCGAGCCAGCAGAGAATATTGGTATAGTTGGTCGAACTGGGTCTGGTAAATCTAGTCTATTTCTAGCCTTGTTTCGTATGACTGAAATTCAACATGGTGAAATAATGATAGATGGAATTAATCTTCACCATTTAGATCTGAGAGATGTTAGGTAAGTCATGGATTTTCTGGATTTTTCATCAGAAGCATAATCATGGAGTCCACATTGTCTATTGTGTTGAAAAGTATTGAAATTTATGACTAGGTTGGTTATTTCTACTCACAAAAACGACTAAAAGCTTGTGGAGAAATTTCTTCTTGGACTAGCTGGTAGCTGATGTACATGCATATGAACTTGGAGAAAAGAGGGTTGGATTTTCCCAAATGTAGGTGATATAGATACTCATTTAAAAATTTTTGAAGAGGAACTATCTCATGATCTCAATCTTATGGATAGTTTTCTTTTGTTTGTCTGCGATATTTTTCATTGCTTCTGGAATAAGATAAAGCTTTATCAAAGCCCTACTCTCCTCTGTATAACATCTAGATTTATTTTTCTAGGTCTCGTTTAGCTGTGATACCTCAAGATCCATTTTTATTTAGTGGCAGTGTACGTGAAAATTTAGATCCTACACGGTGTTTTACTGATAATGCAATCCAGACAGCTATAATTCGCTGTCATTTAGATACTGTGATAACTAGATTAGGAGGACTGAATGCTGAGGTGTCTGAACATGGTAGACGTCTATCAGTTGGTCAGAGACAATTACTGTGTCTAGCTAGAGCATTATTAACTAAAGCCAAGGTAAGTGTATTCCGTAATTTTTATGGCTGTGCACAGCCAGGGATGATCTCAAAAAGAAACATGACCAGTCCTTAATTTATTTTGTAGGCCAAAGATGATCCCAAAAAAGAAACATGACCAGTCCCTGATTTATTTCGTATTTCAAAGGGAAACTTAACGATTTTACACCAGTTTTTTTTTAATGTATAGATATTTTTGCCCACCTAAGAAATATTATATTGTTGCTAAGCCCTTAATATATTTTTTGTTTTTTGGCATCATAATTTGAAGAGAAATTGTAATTGAAGGGAGGCAACTTCATAAACAAATTAAGATTCATGTGTTATTGTTTTAATTTGAAAAAGATTTGATATACTGTTTTTGAAATGTGAGAAGATACTTTAATCAAGAAATATGTTGTAAGGTTATCTTTCTTTGGACCCATGAGTGTTATCAAATTGTAGGTACCTATAACCAGACTAAAATTTGTAAAGAAAGTAAAACGATCTTTATTTTTCAGGTATTGTGTATAGATGAAGCCACAGCTAGTGTCGATCAGGAAACAGACTCATTAATCCAGGCTACAATCCAAGAGGAATTTCGTGACTCTACAGTATTAACTATAGCACATCGTCTCAATACTATAATGGATAGTGATCGTGTCTTGGTCATGAGTGAAGGAAAAGTGGTCGAATTTTCCTCCCCTCAAACTCTTTTACAAAACAAAGATACTTTATTTTATCAAATGGTGCATGGAAAAAGTTAGTATTTTGGAATTGTGTTAATCTCACTCAGGATATTTGGAATTGTTTATGTTTTTGTTATGTATTTGACCTTATTGTTATCTTAGAAAACTCTCTTAAATTGACATAGTTATATAAATATTTGCTTTCTCAACTGATTGAGCTCAATTCCACCTATCTATGTCACTTATTAAAATGAGATATCTGCTTTGATTCAAGAAAGGAAAAATGTATTGGCACCTGTTAAAAGACTGAGAATGAAAGATGTTGTTAACATTCTCAAAATTTCTTTAATTATAGACTACACTTTGATCACAGCAAACTCAGAATTGAATTTTCTGCCTTGTCACAAATATTCAAACTAAAATTGTCAAGTGCATGCCATTGTTTTTGTGAAAATGGTCCACTTTTCTGGCTGAAAATTGACCTCTGTTTTATCATATTTACAAAGTAATTATATTTTCAGTAATTTCCATTTTATCAACCTTAAAGGACAGATTGGCCATCAGTTTGATCAATTGTACCTTTTATATTTTCATACAACCATATAACAACCATATAAAAAGGAAATCATTCTCAGATATTTGAAATAGTTTTTTTCTATTCTTTTCAATTCATGTTTAGATACTATTTTGTAGTTTTGAATTAGATTTTTCAATTAATGTTTATGTTATGCAATTTTCTTTCCATGTTCCGGTGATAGTTTTAATAAATGAATGAATTAAAATAAATGGTTTATTTATACTTTTGCAGTAGAAATACTGCTTGGGTATAAGCATATTGCATAGGAATTTTGTTGTTGTCAATAAAATTTTTTATTGAAGATGGTGCATGTTCCACATTTTGTAAGCCACAAAGAATTCCTATGCAGTTTGCTCCAAAAAAACCCCCAAACTAAACACTGGCTGTTTAAGGCACAATACACAGTTATGGTCATTTAAATATTTGAATCCCCAAAACAATCATATCAAACAGTGCTCACCCATCTGTTATCTGACAGCATTGCCAAGTGCCCTAATTATTGACAATTTAGTGAGTAGTGTTTTAAAAGAGGCCACTGTTATAAAAATAGCTCACTAGACTGAGTACTGTTTGGAACTACTCACTAGCTGCTCCACTTATTTCTTCTGTTTTAGTGCAAGTGAGTACTGTTATAAAAACAGCTCACTAGACTGAGTACTATTTGAAATCAGCTCAGTAGCTTTTTTGGACTATTTTGTCTGTTTTTTTGGTAGTGAGTACTGTTATGAATACAGCTCACTAGACTGAGTACTATTTGAAATCAGCTCACTAGCTTTTTTTGTATTATTTTGTCTGGTTTTTGGTAGTGAGTACTGTTATGAAAACAGCTCACCAGGCTGAGTAGTTTTTGAAATCAGCTCACTAGCTTTTTTTTGGATTATTTTGTCTGGCTTTTGATAGTGAGTACTGTTATGAAAACAGCTCACTAGACTGAGTACTATTTGAAATCTACTCACTAGCTTTTTTTGGATTATTTTGTCTGGTTTTTGGTAGTGAGTACTGTTATGAAAACAGCTCACTAGACTGAGTAGTTTTTGAAATCAGCTCACTAGCTTTTTTTGGATTATTTTGTCTGGTTTTTGATAGTGAGTACTGTTATGAAAACAGCTCACTAGACTGAGTACTATTTGAAATCTACTCACTAGCTTTTTTTGGATTATTTTGTCTGGTTTTTGGTAGTGAGTACTGTTATGAAAACAGCTCACTAGACTGAGTAGTTTTTTAAATCAGCTCACTAGCTTTTTTTGGATTATTTTGTCCGGTTTTTGATAGTGAGTACTGTTATGAAAACAGCTCACTAGACTGAGTACTATTTGAAATCTACTCACTAGCTTTTTTTGGATTATTTTGTCTGGTTTTTGGTAGTGAGTACTGTTATGAAAACAGCTCACTAGACTGAGTAGTTTTTGAAATCAGCTCACTAGCTTTTTTTGGATTATTTTGTCCGGTTTTTGATAGTGAGTACTGTTATGAAAACAGCTCACTAGACTGAGTACTATTTGAAATCTACTCACTAGCTTTTTTTTGGATTATTTTGTCTGGTTTTTGATAGTGAGTACTGTTATGAAAACAGCTCACTAGGCTGAGTAGTTTTTGAAATCAGCTCACTAGCTTTTTTTTGACTATTTTGTCTGGTTTTTGGTAGTGAGTACTGTTATGAAAACAGCTCACTAGGCTGAGTAGTTTTTGAAATCAGCTCACTAGCTTTTTTTGGACTATTTTATCTGGTTTTTGGTAGTGAGTACTGTTAACACTACTCATGATAGTGAGTAGTGTTATATCTACTCACTAACATAGGCCTACTGGTCTAATTATGGAGTGGGTACTTATAATTCTACTCACTTATTTACTGCTATGAAATCTACTCACCAATCATAACAGTAAATAAACAGAGGGCTGAATTGGTTGACCTATATCAGATTAACCAATCAGCTCTATCTAAATTTACTGTTATAAATGCAGAGTTATTTCCCTTCCATAACTTATAAGACAAATGTGGGCTAGTGAGTACTGTTCTAAGAAACAACATAATCACAAGGCTTTGTCTTTGGATTAAATCATCATTTTAAGTGCCATCATCATAAGTGACGTCTAGTCTTAGCCTACCATGAGGGGCATTGTTTTGTTTTTAAGAAAAATTGGTAGATAATATTTGAAACATTTATTAAAATCATTGACAAAATTAAAGGAATACATAATGACATATGATATAAAAACATATTTAAAATCATGAATCATAGAATGAATTAAATATAGAACTCTAGTAAAATATTAATAACTATGGACATACACACAGAAACAATATAATGTAAGACACTACAATTTTGGGGGCAAAATGTATCTTGTATCAGAAACAGCAACATTTCTCGAGATGTCAATATTGACATGCTGTGAATTAGAATATGTCACAATGAATCAAAAGTTAACAATCAAGTAATAATGTCTGAATTGATTATTTCAAAAGCAATGGCTCATTCATTACAAGCTTTAATTGGTTAAGAATAATTTCACTGGAACACAACTGCAGTAAAATATCAGGTAGAAAAAGAAAAGGAATAATTTTGATTTACTACAAAGCAAAACCTATTTTGAATCTTTCTTAATCAATCTATATACTGAAACATCTGTCTTAAATTTCAATCACATATCAAAGCACCTTATAATATAAAGCATAAAGCATTTTCATGCACGTTACTATACAATAAAACTATATACTCATTCTACATATCTATTTTTGAGCAAAGCAAATACATGGTACCGGTATTTCATAAAGCCATAAAACTATAAGTCAGTTATACATAATGCATTCGATATAAATTAAAATAATTATACATTATCAAAACTAAACTTTATTTCATTGGAAGCAATATTAGCTTAATTTGGAAGACTGTTAATATTTTGGCAGATTGATAAGGCAACTAAATATTTAGAATGGAAGGAGAAATCTTTCAAATGGCACTGATTTCAAACCATTAAATAGGAAGACAATGAACGGCTTTATAATTAGCTATATTAATTTACATAATGCTGAGAAAACTTCACTAGGTTTGAGTGTCTTAAAGGGATTGTAAAGAGGCTTTGTATAACTTGTATAGGAGAAACCGATAGCATCAATTTACACCAATTTACACCATTACAATTTTCAATCATACTACTGTGGTTCCTGCAATTGATGCTATCAGTGTCCTCCATACACAAAAAAATGTACATACCCTCTTTACACCCCTTTAAAATATAAGGTAGGTATAAATGACTATTTTTAACGATTTGGATATTAAATAATAACATACATAAAGTAATATATTTTGATCTATAATGTGGATTTCAATGGATCTTGGATGTGGTAAAAAAGATTGAGATCAGAAATGATAAGAAAACTTATCTATTTTTTGGAGTAAAATATTGCCTTTTATAGACTTTTAAAATTTTTCATGTAATTCTTGGCAAATATTGTGGATTTTTGATATATGTACTCATAGTCGATGTAAAGAAAAAATTGTAAAGAAAAAGGTGACATTAAATAATTGATAAAATGTTATACCAGTATATTAAAAGGATTTTTTCTTGATGGGAATGATTGATGTAAGTTACATATTATAAGTGTGAAACACATTACAAACAGAGAGCTTAGTAGATATAGCAGAGAAGAGTTTGGTGGAAATCATATTCTCATCCTGGGTGGAACAAGCCTAGTGTAATCCTATGACCTATTTTCTCTTGATTGAATTGATTTTGATTTGATTTGCATCAAGAAAGCACAAGAAGTAAACCTTTTGTTTTGTATAATTATCAAAATACAAGAATTTTGAAGATTTACGAGACAGAAGTTTTTTTTTGACATAAAAATGTTGTTTTCATCAGAATTTTTCTTTCATAGTTTTGTTAAAATCTGACGCTTATATTTTGTAAACAATTCATCATGATAAAGAATTTCCAGTTTGATTATTTCAAATTAAGAAATAAAATAACTGTAAAACATTGATACCCAATTCAAATTAGAAATACAATATAAAGTAAATCAATGAAAATTACAGTGTGACCAATTCATAAAAGATTATCAGAAGAAATATATGGTACCTTTTTTATGTGAGCTATTCATATAATTGAATATATTATCTTCATAATTTACTCTGATTTTCAGGCTATGCAATATTCAGATAGCTCTCTAAATGAAAATGGATATTAATATGGTACCTTCATAATTATTAATTCAATAACAAAATATCTGAGCTGTTAAAATAGTGCTCAATATAGACATATTAAAACAGAACCTGAATCATGTTGTTACTCAAGGTTCACGCTATGAGATCTTCAGACAACTGACCTATTTCAGATTTCATCCCTACTGAAGTTTGCCAATTAGGACGCAAACTGAAATAGGTCAGTTGTCTGAACATTGCATAACATGAAACTTCAAGTAACAATGTTTCAAATTCTGTTTCAGTATTCTCATCAATATTCAAATGAAAGTAAATATGAAGAAAAAAATCCATTGAAATATAATATTTCTATCATACAATATTTTGGAAGCTAAACTATAAATACTGCTATAGTATCGTGGTCAAGATATCACCCAATTTCTTTCCAGAGATACAAAAAGTCAGACAGTAGCCTATTATTTCGATGGAACACACTTTGTGTAGTGTTTTTGAATACCTGAAATGGACGATTTGACACAACATTTTGGTATATCGCAATGGAAATTGTCACTAAAGGTACAGCAATTCTGTGAAGATAGAATTCAGTTTACAATTTCCCTCCACAGTTCTATCAAAATTGTGTCCTCTCTAAAACCATTTCTGATAATCATTGTATGGATACCATCATCCATTTTTCCTTTTTACCAGTTGAAAGAACTCAATAGAAGCTGGTAACATTAAAAATCTGCAGAAAATCTTCTCTAAAGTGACCTTTTATTTCAGGTGATTTACAATAAGATTTTTTAAAAAAAAGTGATATACTAAGCTTAAATTGAGCTCTTATCAGTTGATAACCTTACTATCTCCCTATATATATATAAATTTAATTAATGTATCATTGATCTAATATAACCTAACTGTAATTAAGGTTTTCTCTAAACTTAAAGTCCATTTTTGTGTTTCAGATTGATCATCACAATCTGTGGCTATCAAAGCATTATTATCACTATTACTATCAAAACAATAATCATAATCACGATGTTTTATCATTGTACCCTCATTTGTTCTCTCCCATTTCTAAAAAAAAAAATAAGAGCAGTTTATAATAGAGAAGTAAGAAAAATATCTATGGTATACTACTTCTGAGTTATATTGTACACAACGTTTCAACAATTTACATTGTTATCATCAGAAGAACATATTTAAAAAATATATAAACTTAGAAGTAGCATTCCAGAACTATAAAATTGTTGATCTTTATTCCTTAAATATTGCTTAAAAATGGGTTCCCTTATTTTCATTTAAGAAAATCAAAATACTAATACCTATATGAATAGAAAGTAGACGTGAGAAAGGTCATAAAGACTTTTTTTTGTTTATCCAGACTGTACATACATAGACATGTATGATTGGTTAAAACTCCTAATCATCTGCCATAAGAACATAATATGATTAAGAATACATGATAATTCATTAGAAACACCAATTAACCAAATAGCTTGCATAATTTGGCATTAAAAAACAAGGAAACCCATCTTTAAGGATCTACTTCCATGATCAATCTTGGAAGATGAAGGATTCCTCTAAGTAGAAAGGTATCAGAAGCACTGATTATTGGAATAGTTTAAATTGGTACAAATTGAATCTTTTTTATTAGTTTTCTGACTTTTTTACTGACTAACAAGAGAACAAAGTCAATTTGAAAACTTTTATTTCTTTCCACCTCAGTTTCTAGGTGCTTTGATGAGGTCAGCCCCTCTGACCTGCATCACAGACATGAAATATCTGAAGGTGTTATCTTGACCTACGGCTGGATCAAAGCCTAAATTTAGGCATTTCTACCCTATAGTCTATAATCAAACTTACCTGATAAGAATTATTTCGCTGACACTGAAATAATTTGATCATATTACCAGAACCAACACCAGTTAATGTTAAACATAGATCTAAATGTTTTATACTACCATCTTTACTTAATGAAAATTCCTGTAACAAAGAGACCATTTAGTAAGTATTGGTAATCTTTATATAGTGGAAATATAACTAATAATACAATTGGCACATATGAAACATACAATTGGCACATATGAAACATACAATTGGTACATATGAAACATACAATTGGTACATATGAAACATACAATTGGCACACATGAAACATACAATTGGCACATATGAAACATACAATTGGCACATATGAAACATACAATTGGTACATATGAAACATACAATTGGTACATATGAAACATACAATTGGTACATATGAAACAGTCTCAGATTTGAATTTTATAATGAAAATATGAGGTTGTTGATTTGATTATATTTGCCATGCCAATCATGCTCTGGTATGTCTGTGTTTTTTCTCTTCTTTCTTAGATCCTTTTTAATATATCATAGATGTGCCATCAAATGTTCAAAAACAGTAAGTGTGGCAAACAATATCCCATGTAAAAAAACTTAGTGAAATTTTTAATAACTCAAGGTACATTTAATGGTAAATTCACTAACATTATACAGAAAGAAACAGTGTATCACATAGAAATCACCAAGAATTGAACACATTAAATTCAATGGCATTAAAGGGATTGTAAAGAGGTTTTAAAAATCATCTAGAGTTTGATAACGTTACTAAGCGAAGGGCCTTGTCATATAGTATATTTTGGAATTACTGATGTCACCTAACACTTAGTTTTATTGGAATTACAGGAACCACAGACTTCTTATTGAAAATTGTAATGGTGCATATTGATGCTATCAGTGTCCCTGATACACATAATTTTTTAGAACACCTCTTTACAATCTCTTAAAGTAATGTTCTGGCATAGTACCTACCTGATTACCACCAGTGTGATGACAAGGATAAAGTCCTAATAAACCATTAGAGAAATGTCCCATAGTATCAATACATTTACTGTCTTGTTGTATACTACCATATGATATATCTTCTTTTTCAGGTATTCTATAGATAGAAAAGTCAGGTAATCATAGAGGGAAAACAATAGTCGATCATCTGGTTCAAATATAAACATAAAGGGGCACTCAGACCATAGTGATTATCAATTACGTAAGGTTGCGAATAATGAAAGTGGTCATGAGTTTTGAACGCAACTCACAAGTAAGATGCCCGAGAGTTGTGCTAACCGTACCTATCTACAGCTGAGTCGACTGGAATTACTATTGAAGATGACTAATTCAAGATCACCGGACATTCACACGACGATCAAGATCAGAACCCACAACCACCATTTGTTTGACGTAACCAAGCAAATGATATCATGTAAAGAACCAACCCTTTAACCGACTGTGAGATAGAACCTCAAAGATAGTGTAAGTAAGAATAAATGCAATATATATAAATCGGACCATTTGTTCTCCCCAATATATTTGTGCTCATGTTCAAATCATTTTCAAAAGCACTTATCTTTGTTCTCAGTAAGATTCTAAATTGAAGATACAACATAATATCCAACTTACTTTAATTCTGGGTAAACATTCTCTAAAAGCCATTTAAATGGTTTACATTGTAATCTTTCTCTTAATTCTAATCTTTTACTGATACTGAAATAACAAGTCAAAAATAATTTATTCACTATAGTTAAAATATATAGATTCCAAGATGTTCACTTCAAGATATCTCAATTCTCAAGACCACAGATAGACTTCTGCTATAATTGGTCCAAGAAACATAACATCATAATCCTATTTTCAGCTATGGCATATCCCCTCAGTAATTCCAATATCATTGCCATTTGAAATTTTGATCGACAATGGATTGCGAATTTGTAGCCGTTGACTGTGGTCAAATGTGACAAAGTCAATATTGTGGTTTCTAACTGAACTGGAATCACATGACTCACAATCATTGGTCTGGGGGCTAAGAAACTATGTATGTAAAATGATGTGTGTGGAAAAAAAATATGAATTTCATCAGTTGAAGACATGTGTAAATTGTGTTGTGTTAAATTGTTATGTACTTTGTTATTAAAGAAGTATGTTATATCATAATATATTCATTGTGTTTTCTGTTTAAAACTAATAATAATATAATATTTGAAATAGAACTTACTCTCCAAAATCAACATGTTTAGCAGATGGTACAGCAGAATAATAAAATTGTTTATAATCATCCATCCATACTTCAGCTGCTCTTCTGGTGTTTCTATTAAAATAGAACAAAATATATTCCCAATGAATATTGAATGAAAAGTTTTCAGTAATACAGGGCAATATAGAAATATTGTCTAGATTAAACTGCAAAAAACTAAATTTAGTTGGCCTAAGTCTCAACACAAATTGATGCAAACTAATGGGGGATCTTTAACATGCACATATTGGAAGCTGCTAGACAGACATTACTGCATAGGAGATTCGGGTTGAACTATCGGAAGGTATTATCTCTGGTTTATTCCCATTTCGCCCCTTCCCATTTCTCTCCTTCCCAATTTGCCCCTTCCCAATTTGCCCCTTCCCATTTCGCCCCTTCCCATTTCGCCCCCAATTTATTCCCATTTCGCCACTTCCCATTATGTCCCTTCCTGATTTGCCCCTTTTTTTTATTTTGCCCCTTTTTTTTTTGCCCCTTTCCCAATAAGTCCCTTATTCCGTTTTGTCCCCTTCCCACTTTGCGAAATGGGAAGGGTCGATGTGGGAAGACACCATTATCTCTACCTATGCCAGAAATAGAAGCTTACTTACTGTTTCTAGCTAAAATGATACTTACCTAGTAAATATATTACCACTACCACCAGGAAAGGTGTAGGGATGTTGTTTTCTAAAAACATGACCTACTCTACTACATGGTATAATTTCTAATGATCCATGACACTGCCACACACGGAATGATATTTCTACACAGACAAAAACCATAGCATTAGATTACTCACTGTCAATACCAGTCAAATAAATCATAAGATAGGCTTCTGTTACTCAGAATGTGGCATGAATATTCACAAAACAAGCATGTTTTGAATATGATTTTGTCCTAAAGCTCCAAATAAAGGCAGTATGTTTTGTGGCTCTAATCAAACATGACTAGGAAACCCTTTTGGATATGAGTACTTTGCTAAGGTGAAAAAAGGGAAGAAAAATGAAAACAATGTGAACCAGACCTTGGAATGGAATCTGCATTAATTTCAAGATTGGACAAAAATGTATTTCTGAATAGAAACTTCATTAAGAAGTATAGTAACTTGTCAAGGATCCTTGCTACAAGCTTGTCCTTAGCCAAATCTCTTGGCATTGATCTGTTCCTGAATCATCTGCATCCATAAAGTAGGTGTACTGGATTAATGCGGTAAGATGACATGTTTAAGGTTACCACACTTTCACATGCCACCAAGCAAATGATGTCATCTGAATTTTCAATGCTCTAACAGACTGCGCTTCAGAAATCATTGATATGGTAGAAAGTTATCCTACCTAAATTTTCTCCACCCCATACATTCATCTCTGGATCATACTGTCCTAACTTATCAAACCAACTTTTATCAATAACAAATAATCCACCAGCTATCATTGGTGTTCTGAAACCAAAATTAAATATTATGTAAGGCAGAGGCAGTCATTGATGTTTCCTGGATTGTCTATAAATATTTACAACTGGGACGACTGTTGTAAGAAGGAAAGAAGACTCCATGACAACCATTAGTTCAGCCTAAACAAGCAAATTATGCATGTAAAGTATTCAATGCTATAAACAACTATGCTACAGAACCTCAAAGAAAATGTGAAATTTGTGTGCTCATTCCAAGATGTTCACCCTGACATGATAGCCCATGATGATGATTGCCATTTCATTGCCATTCTGTGTAGCTCTAAATATGCCTACCGATTTTATGAGCAATGCAAATACAAAGCCTGAAATGGAGTTGTATTTTCAGAAAGAGCAACATACCTGATGGGTGATATAGGATTTGATGATCTTTTCTTTCTTTCATCAGCTGTCATATAATCCCATTTAAACACTAGATTCCAATCAAATCCTGAAATAATGCCAATGGTTCCATACAATTGAAAACATTTCAATGTGTACTGACTTCTCTCATTATTTACAGCATTTCGCCAGATTCACGCCACATTCAAACTTTTTCAAATGAAATTGAAATGAAATGAATGGAGTTTTACATCCTACTTTTCTGCACCAAGTGGGCTAATGCCAAGCAGGGTGCAATGAGGGACGTTTTGCCGGGACAGCGGCTTTAGTCTGCTCTTTTTCGATTTTCAACTGTCGAGGGATTTTTAATGTGCACAGCCTGTAGCACACGGGGCCTCGGTTTATTGTCCCATCCGAACGACTAGACGCTTTTTCCATGTCAGCCTCTCTTACCTGCATCACTGACAGGGGAAACTGGGTTGAAAAATCGGAAGGTATTATCTCGACCTATGTAAAACTTTTTCAAAACTCACATATATGTGTCAGAGGTTGTCTAGAAAATATATAAAAAATTAGACTAACCTCCCTTTAAATCAGCAGACGCTCCTATATAGTCAAAATTATCCATACTAATAACATCTATAATGGGACTAACAACTCTTGTGGCATCCTAAAACATCAATTTTAGAAACATAATATTAAAGATTGATCATTTTTGGGGGTGGATTTGAGTCTTGATTAATACCATATTTCCTCCAAGGCACTTAATTCAAGCCTGGGATTGTGTATCAACTTCTATTGATAGATTGTAAAATTTATGATGCATCAGAAAAGGTATGTGTCTTACCTCAGCTACTCGTTCTAATAATGGTTCTAACCAATGTTCATTACATTCACAATGACTATCTAGAAATGTTAACACTGGAGCTTTAGCAACATTAGCACCCTTCACTCTCGATCTTATTAAACCTGAAATAGACAATAATATACATTTAAACTGCAACATGATCAAAAACTCTTCCTTCTCTAACACCTACTACGGTTTGCTTCTATCTTGAAGAGCAAATCATAAAAGTATATAGGCTTATGTTTAAAGATGGGTTCCATCATTTTCATTTATGAAAATCAAATTCTAATACTTATATGAATAGAAAGTAGAGGTGTTCTAATTAGCTAAATTAGAAGAGAATTACCAGCAGAATTCCAATGAGTGACTGATCAAAATCCAGACTGTACATACATGGACAATTGGACATTTATGATTGGTTAAAACTTAAATTATATGCAATACAAGAAAATAATGATATGATAAAGAATACATGCTAATTCATTAGAAACACCAATTAATCTTAATTGCTTAATTTGACACTAAAAAAAGGAAACCCATCTTTAAAAAGAGTATCAATATTATAAGAACAAGGTTTTAGAATGCACTTTTTAAATGCAAAAAATTACACCAAAAGCTAACAAGATTAACAATATATTTAATTGAATATGTGTGTGTTTGCTGTATTTTTATCTCTAGTGTGGTTCTAATGCATTTCATATCATAAACCTTATAGATAAAATAGAAAAAGATTAGTTGTCAATATTTCAGGCTGGCGAAGCAGATATGGAAAAAGTATGTAATTTGGATGAGACTTGTGAACAAAAAGACATCTTGACTACTGTCTGAGTAAAATTTTCCTCATTGTACATGTCATTGCCAGTTTTCATTAGCCTTATCAATATAAATGAGAACTCCACTTTTAAAACTTGCACTAATATAGCCTTAAGGTACTCAAATTCATTAAAAAAATCTTCCACCAAATTGAACATTCTCTATTCAAATATTTTGTTAAGGTTCAAGCCAGGAATTTGTGTTTGGCCTCTATTTTAGGTTTCAATATCCTAAAACTGTACACTATTACATAAAAACAGTCATTAAAGTCAAGTTAACAACATTTTGAAACTCTTACCAAAATAATGAGCAAAGTAACATTTTTAATTTGTGTTAGCAGTATATCACTACATGCTTTCTACAGTAATTGAAAAGCCAGACCACCCACTTTTTAAATATCACTGAACATTTAAAACCAAACTACAAACATGCTTTTCATGAACTTGCATTGTTTTCATCCTCTTTAAAAAAAACTTTATAAATGTTAACAATTTTAAAACAAGGCATAAAAGTCAGATCACAATTTCACAGAAAAAAAATTTGAACTCAAGTATGTTTGCTTACAGAATAAAAACTCAGTAATGTTTCAACTTCTATTGATTGTAATGTTGTACAGCTTTAAAGAGATTGTAAAAAGGTTTTTTAAGTATTTTATGTGTATCAAGAACACTGATATCATCAATTTGCACTATTTCAATTTTCAGTCTGACGTCTGTAAAACTAAATATTCTTTATCAGATTAAGGCTCTTCACAATTACTGATGTCATCAAACACTTAGTTGTATAGTAGAATTGATAGAACCACAGACGTCTGATTGAAAATTGGAATGATAAAAATTTATGCTATCAGTGTCTCCGATATACATAAACAATTTAGAAAACCTCTTTACAATTCCTTTAACTCAAACCCAAAGCACCTAATCACCTAGCAGACAACTTAGCCATCTCGGCTCATCTGAACTATAAAGGAAAGAATGTACATGCTTTGTAATAAAAAAAATTAAAAAAAATCTTTTGTTCACAGATCTATCAATTTTTGTTGACATTGTAAAATCATTCTTGTTTTTTTTTTCTTTTTTGTGTCTAGAGATGAAATAATCTTTGTTTTAAGAATATTAACATTTATTTTCAACTATGCTTTACACTAAATGGATATTTCAAAATTTACCAAATAAATTGGTGCATACCCCCACTGTAACTAATTTGACATTTGAAATTCTAATGTGAGTTCTAAGCAGGTGATCTCTAAACATTGTACTGTACTCCCTAAAAACTACCACAGTTCATAGAATGTTACCTCACAGAAAAAAGAGTTGCATAAAGTATTAAATTTATCACTTTATTTTTAATGGGTACCATATACATAATCACTGGTGTTTGATAATAGATCATATACCAGCCAAAAACCTGTTTTCTTTTATATACCTATAATTATTCTTTAATGGGCAGATTTCCAGATTTTAAAATTTTAAACAAAGTAACAAAACTATCACAAAAAGCTTAATTGAAATCAGGTGGTTAATAGCAAACAAAATTTAAATTTTGGCAAAAAAGTGACAACATTAGAAGTTTTTAGAACAATTTCAAAATAACTTCCATTAGATAACATTTTAATGAAAATGTCAAGCTAACCCAATTTAACAATTTTAAATGACTAACAATTTTAAATGACAAGCAATTTAGACATCACCAGACTCTAATTTTTAAAAAAAAGTAGTGTAAATGATAATATCATGGGACCAAACTTTTCTACAATAATCCCAAAATACTGAATTTGAAGAAACATTGCTGATGTCAAAACCAATACCATCATAATGCATGAAAATTTAATAAGGCTCAATCAGGCGATATAATATGTAGAAGTTTCAAGAAGACTATTAAATTCATTATCACCTTCTTCTTGACAAAAACTATCCCAAAGATTAAAGTCTTTGAATGGCATTTAGCAATTGTGAGTACGATATATGGACACAGCTTTATGGAACAACGGAAACACGTCGAAACGTTGCATAAAACTTTACCCAGTGATTGTTGTTCCATAAAGCTGTGTCCATATATCGTATCCCAAAGATTATCAAAACATTAAAGATTGGATGGATTTTGTGTCATGTGAACAGGCATTCGTTGTGAAAACCATTTCTGACCTGCTTCAAGAGGATTTTACTGTAATGTAATTGGCACATCCACTAAGATTTGAGAACATAACATATAACACCAGGTTTAAGAAACTATGAATACCAGGTAAAAGGGGTTATTCAAACAAAAGTGCTTTTTCAATAAATTAGACAGTAGGCCCCACTGATAGTCTTAGAATGTATTTATTTGCTTTGATAAAAATATCATCTTTTACAGGTTTGGCTGAAAATTGACCTCTATAAAATAAAATTTTGAAGACATAATGTGTGATCAGCTCATACTTATATTTTTATCAATGCAAAAGCATTCTAAGACTAACAGTACTATTTTGAGGCTGATATTCCAATTCTCATTAATAATGTAATAGGGAAAAATTCAAAAAACCTTTTCTTTGCTCAGACAATATTTTTACAACAAGCTATCAAACCAGATGGTTGTAAATTCTTGATTAGTTCAGTAAAAACAAGTATAACTTGTACCTAGTAGTAGTAAATTCTAGTCTAGGACATGTCTCCTAGTTTATTTAAGATTACTGCTTGTTGATACAAGAATTTAAAAGAGAATGTTAATCTATTTTTGTTTGGGTTAAAACATTGACACTGGGGGTTTGTAGACTCAACTTTCAACCACTGAGGTTACTATAAACAATTTCCAGTATTTGACCAACAGTCAGTGATGGTCAGTCAATGACCATTGCTTAGTTTACCTATTACTCAGGCCATACTGCACCAGCAGTTCTAATTGAAGAAACCACCTCTATTGTTTAGACAACTGATTTACAAATCCATGTACAAATAATTAGTTAAAGACATGGCAATAACTCTCTTTAACACACAGACTAAAATACAAGTTCTTGATTTATATATATTTGCCGAGCATGTCTAAGGGGAGTTATTACTTTGTTTAGGACTCAAATGTGGCTGCACTTAAAAGGAATTGCATGTATTATCTAAATCATATAAATATAGTATACAAATTGATAAAATTCTTGAGAATTTCCAATATTGTAATTCATTTTGTATATCGTGGTGACCGCTTGAAACTTCGTACATGCCATATTTGGTCACTTTGACACCGTTCTAAAGCTCGTAAAAGCGCTGATCTTGTGAACAAAACCTCGTATTCTTAGCTTGATTGTAAGTTTTTGGTTCAAAAGGCCGGAGTACTCAAATTGTTATACGAGGTTTATATTTACAAAGAATGAAAAATCACGTATTATAAAAATAACAAAAAAGATTTTAACAAACTACAAGTACAAATAGTTTTTTGCGTTTTTCTCGAAAAGTAATCTTGCATCATATATCGTTATATGAGGTTTCAAGCGGTCACCCACGATCTGTATCTATTTTCATCAAAGGTTTGTAGTTAAAGTAAGTCCAGAAAAGTAGAACAGATTATGTTGTCACAATTTTGCAAAAATATCTTCAATGAATGAAATGGCATAATATGCATTAGCAACATTATAATCTAGTCAAATAACCTTCTGCAAATACTAGAACTAGCAAAAAGATATCATAAAAGAGAAAATCTAATTAAATCTAAGTAGAACTCTACTTAAATAGCACAGAATTAATGAAAATAACTTAAAACAAAACCACAAAAAGCTATAATTTGCACTTTTTGTATAAGTTTCTTTTTTACACATTTTCATACAAAATGCCAAAACTATAAAAACCATAAACTATATTCCCTCATAAAAGATAATGAAAACTGACAGAAATCCCCACAATAATAAATATTGATTTGTGCGTAAAACTGGCGTTAGAATTAAGCCTAGAATATTCATAAGATAATGTACAAACATCCTAGGATGGAATATCATCTTGGGAATATTTCATCTTACTAATTACTAGACACTTTATATACATAGTAACTTCAGTAGATATACCAATCATAATTCTTGGTTTATATTCCTATGTCATTCAATTAGTCACACAATACAATGCAGTGAGCAGAGAAAAAAATCTGTTGCAGGATTTTGTCAGCAGCAGGCAATAATTAAGGCCTTTTTCTTTCTTTTACAAGATACCCCTGACACAAATGCTAAAGTGATACCACGTCTTAGAGTGAACATAAAATTTAAGAATTTTAGACTTGCCTATAAGAGCATTATATATTCATCAGTAGATATACCTGGTGTCATAAATAACATAACAGGATCCTTATATAATCC